TAGAGGGGAAATATTCAATTGGAAAGATATCCTCTCACTTCCTGTTGAGTCTACAGAAGAGAAAGTGAAAAGAAATTTCCCTAAGACACAAAAAAATTACCTGATAGCAGTTTTATCCCCTACTCTATCCAAAATAGAAAAACGTTTGGGCCTTGGATACACTTTAACACCCACCACAAGACTAAACACAACTCTTAACCTGTCCCTAACACTAAAATGTAACCTAAGCCCTAAAATTAGCCCTTAATAGTTAACCTTCCACCCCTTGAAACATAATCCCATAGTTGTTGCCTTAACTCTGAACCTCTCCTCTTAACACTTAACCCCTAAAACACTGAAATCCTGAACCTAAAACATACATAGGCCCTAAAATCTAAGCCCTAAAGGTGGCCATACACTGTACAACCATCGCAAGACCTTAGTCTTGCGATGGTTGTAAAGTGATTAAAAAAACGTACGATCTGCCCATGTTGGACAGACAGATCGCACTCTCGATCATTGCAAGCCCGCCCCCCTGAGGGCCGGGCTTCCGATGACCGCAATGCTGAACGGGCAGTGTGCACGTGCGCACACCGGCCCGTTCGGCATTTGTCTCCCGAGCACTGTTCAAACCAGCCGAAAATCGTACGATTCTCGGCTGGTTTTCTAACATGCTCCTTAGACAAAAGACGTGCGACCGTACATTAGAAACGTACATTAGAAACGGTTGCACGTCTTCGTTCACACTGTTCGATTCTCGTACGATCGCGGGATTTCCCGCGATTCTCGTACGAGAATCGAGCAGTGTATGGGCACCTTAATACTAATTAAACCTGAGTCCAGGGCCAGTGCTGCCACTAGGCAGCTGTATAGGGCGCAGTGTCAGTTTCCAGTGTAAGGCTCCAGTGAGCACGGTTCACGGAGGGATATGGAGCGGCCTGCACAGTTCCCACCCCTGGCTGGCTTGAGAAGAGGGGGAAATGACAGCGTCTGCAGATCAGCTCAAGATGGCCTCCCCTGGGACACTGCAGCAACAGCAGCCACCCTGATGGTATGTGCACCTTCTTGGATGGGGTTGGGGATCTGGTAGAGGGGGAGTTTGTCTGCTGTACATAAATAAAGAAGAGTGAGGGGGGTGGATATGGTAGAATTTGGTAAAGGGAGTACATGTAGATTGGGGAGGATGCAGAGGTTGGTGGGTAGAGAAGAGAGCAGGTGAGTGAACAGAGGTGCCATCTTCTGATTGCTTCTGGGCTGCCCAATCTAAGCCCTGGTGATCTCCCTCTCTATGTATACATGCCCCCACCTCTTCTGCTCCATGTCAGCCTGCCTCCTCCCCCTTACTCCATGTCAGACTTTTACACCCCACTTTGCCAGATGCAGCACCACCACCACCAGCATCTCGGTAGCAGGGCTAGCCTGACATTGCTGGCAGTGGGACTGGCCAGCTTGGTAATACTCTGCCATGTAGCCCACATGCCTGGGTCAGTTTGCCACCCTCAGGGGCTTTTTATGCTGCTGTGTTGCCCATTTAGTCTGAAGCAGATAAAAACGAACAAATGTGTGTATTGTATTTGCCTACATATGCTTCTGTGTGTGTGTGTGTGTGAATTCACATATATATTAACACCATCATATTTAAAAAAAACAGATGATATATTGTGGTATTATGTGGCAGAACTGGGTGTTGTTATCACCCAGGACTCTCAGCCAGAGGGGCTGAGCGGTTCCAGGAAACAAAATCTTTTGCTGGGAAAGAACTGGCTTTCCAGTTCTCTTCAGGTTTTCTGGATTTGGCATGGGATCCTGGAACTGGGAGATTTCAAAGAGAATTGGGAGGGCTGAAATCTCCATTCCTCGGTCCGTGGTTTAGTAGGGACCAGCACCTGATTGCACACCTGTACACAACACTTATGGGAAGGGTGCTGATTAATGTTCTGGGCTCCAGCTGGGAAGAGGAACAGAGGTGTTCAGGAGGACTCCACCCAGAAGTCAGAGGGGAGCCAGGAGGCTGTGTGTGCTAGAGGCACAGGGAAGACAGCTGTGGAGGCTTAGAGAGCCAGTTACACATGGAGTATGTGTGATAATCTTTAGTCGGTGAGACATTGTCTATTGCTGAAATACAAGCGAACCTTATGTTGTTACTGAAGAAAGTCATTGTTTTGTTGATGAAAGAAATAAAAGACTGTCCTGTTTTATGTGAAAGTGGCTTTAAGATTGGTCTTTGAGCGCTCACCTAAAGTAGTAACAAAAAAAGTGCAATTTTTTTCTTTGGGGAGGGTGTAAGTAGCTGGTCTTGCCTATAGCGCACAATAGTCTAGCACCGGCTCTGCCTGACTCCATTGTACAGCCACCTTGTCCTGTGCCAGCAGCCTATGAATACTGATCTAGACATGGGACAAGCAAAACAGATCTTGTTTTACCTGCATGACTGCCAGATTGTTTTCCATAAGCAACAACTGGTGAGGTGACAGGCCGAAGCAAAATACTGAAAATTTGGGTGAGGGAATATTCTGTTATTTCTAATGTCTGATTCTAATAATTGCAGGTAATACTTAATGCAGAACTCCAGGCTGACCGCTAAATATACAAGTGATCATATATTGACTTATTATTATTATTATTATTATTATTATTATTATTGATTTATATAGTGCCAACAGTTTGCGCACCGCTTAACAATATAAGGATCAAGATGGTAAGGAGGGCACTGCATGCGAGGGCTTACAATCTAATGGTGCCCATACACTGCTCGATTTCCCGTACGAGAATCGCGGGAAATCCCATGATCTTACGAGAATCGAACAGTGTGAACGAAGACGTGCGGCCGTTTCTAATGTACGGTCGCACGTCTTTTGTCTAAGGAGCATGTTAGAAAATCAGCCGAGAATCGTACGATTTTCATCTGGTTTGAACAGTGCTCGGGAGACAAATGCCGAACGGGCCGGTGTGCGCACGCGCACACTGCCCGTTCAGCATTGCGGTCATCGGAAGCCCGCCCCTCAGGGGGGCGGGCTTGCGATGATCGAGAGTGCGATCTGCCTGTCCAAGATGGGCAGATTGTATGTTTTTTTAATCACTTTACAACCATCGCAAGACTAAGGTCTTGCGATGGTTGTAAAGTGTATGGCCACCTTTAAAGGGAGGGGCATATAGTATATTCTGTTTATTCACTCTAGTGATCAACACACCTCACACCCCACATTGCACAGACAGCCAGACAGATGACAATCCTATTTCCTGCCTTGTCAATTGACACCAATCAGAATCACTTCTGAGTCCTGACCAGTCAGGAAGCTGTAACACTGAGCCAGGTAATAAAGCCTCGTTCACATGGGTGGTAGGTTTACACACCCCTCTGAAAGCAATCAGTGGTAAAACGTTTCTCAGATTGTTTAGAGATGGTTCACAGGAGTTCAGGTGGCAATATTGCTGCCTTCTTAATGTGTTTTTTTTCAAACCCACGGGGGATTTTATATTGAAATGCCATGCCACTTGGCATGTGGTTGCAGCACGGTCCCATTGACTTTAATGGTTGTGTTGGGAAATCAGCACCGCCTGCCAAACACAGCATGCTGTAAAATCACCGTGACCATGAATACCAACATTTAATATAGTAGGTCGGTGGTCATGAAGGGGGGTGGTGGTAAAAACACAGATCAACCTACTGTTTTTACCACCCTTTTGACTCCCGTGTGAACGAGGCCTAAGAGAGTGGCAGTGGACAGAGATGTGTGACAGAGATGTGTGAATCACAAGACTGCTTGTCTACAAATACAATCCTATAACGGATAAATGGTTCACACATATACATTTCTACTGGGGATAAAGCTGTTTGCCTGAAGTATCTAATCAACTGAAATGTGCCGTAAGATACCTGATAGATATATATATATTAGTGTGTGTATAAAAAAAAAAGAAGGTGGAAATCTGCATTAAACAAACCATTGAAACTTGATCTGTGGACTAGGGGAGAGGGACGTGCAAAAAGGAAAATAGGGAACACATCTATATCCTAAACTAAAGTATCTTTAAACTTGGTCATTTAAAACAATAACTGTAGCAAATAAGTATTAACGTGACTGACCATAAACAACTGATCTTCGTATATTTCAAGTAACAGAGTACTGATTTTTCTTGAGCAATGTATATTTTCATGAGATGACCATACCAGAGTCCATATTATCAGGGAACACATAATAAAGATATTACATAACATGTTCCCTGGAATTCACAGGGTGCCGTAGAAATCTGTCTCCCGTCCATGCAACAAAGTTGCGACAGATGTCGGTAAGGTGTATATGAATCTGTTGCAGAATTTTATCTGCAACACAATACTTACATGTGTGACTTCATTTACTTCAACAAGGAAGAGGTCTTATTTACCTCCACTTTTCTTATCATTAATATGGCGGTATCTCCTAATGAATTTGTCACAGAATGTAAATGTCTTTCTAATATGAGACTTTCTAATACAGCCATAACACCAGAAAAGTGTTACAAATGCCTTACTGAATTGCCCCCACTATATGCTCTTCTTTTCCTATAGTGCAAATAAGAGGATAACCTAGAGGTCAACTTCCTTTATTATGTGGCTTTGCAGGAATATTTTTATAATTGAACAAACCTGTTTTTGGAAATTAGATCACAGAACATATGGCGAAGACATAGTCTTACTGCATACCATGGCCCCCATCACCCTAAGGATACCTTTCATATTAAATCCAAAGGTAAACGAAACCTCACTCGGATCTAAGGGATCATACTGTCCAATATGATGACCTTCCATACTGGTAATAATCAAAAACATCTAGTAGCTTAAAGGATGTTCCTGTCATCAGAACATCTGGTCCAGAGCATTACTGCTCCTAGATTGCAGAGCCTACAAGGTTTCAGGACATAGAATGGTATAGAAAAGTTCTCCCTGATCTTCTGGAAGCATAGATAGGGACCTTACCCGAGGCACACATCAGGGCATAGCGTGGCCATTGGCCAATGGCTGAACACAGCAATGATCTTACCTAGCTGGCAGGCAGACAGCAGAGAAACAGCAGCAAGCAGCACAATGTCAGCAGCCATGTTGCTAGAATGAGAGAGCGAGGGAGAGTAAAGGGGAGATCAGGCTCCCAGCTAGCACAACACACTGAGGCACGCCTTCCTCATTCGTGCATGCTACATATTAACTCTTGCAGTGCGGACAGTCTCTAAAAATTACAAAGCGTTGATGCTGCTGGTCAAAAAGTTATTTGTGATGTACATTAATGATGTTGTATTACCCTGTACACTAAAGTGCATTCATATACTATTTAAGAGTAGTTCGCCAACAAGGAATAAATAGATGCAAGATTTTTAGACTGATATCACTCATTTATCAGGTTATAGAAGACTGTTCTTCTTTGGGGCATATTTATAATGCAGTGATTCTGACAGCGATTGACTTATCCCTAGTGAATGTTTGGTGAAGTCACATTCACTACTTTATAAGGGCTCATTCACATGAGGCATTAAAAACACTGCATACAGATGCGCTCAGCATATCTGTGCGTATCTGAATGCAGAATATGCAAATACATGGCCCCATACACATAGCTGTGTCTGGGGACATGTTTTTGCATTGCATACAGATGCACACACAAAAATGGAACAGAGCTCTGTCTGAGGCCGCAAATAGTGTGTTTTTACTAATTTGCGCATGTGAATACGTGCATTAAGTTTCTGGTGCTTAGTGATTGCATACAGTGCTAGAAAAAAATTGTATGCATAAAAACGTATATGAACCAAATGTGTGCATACACGCGCATATTAGACATTTAACATTTGTTTAGTTCTGAATTGAAATTCGGATGAAGATCAGCATATTTGGAGGTTCCAAATCTTCTGAAATTAACTAGAAGGTGTTAGACAATGAAAAAAAAACAAAAAACGGCGTGGAGTCCCCCCCCCAATTCTTATAAGACCCTTGTGCAGACCCAGGGCATGTTAAGGGCATGTGGCCTGGTATGGTGCAAGGGATGGGGAAGGGGGCACACGATTGCCCCTCCCTTTCCAGCTCTGCCAGGCCACTGCCTGGATCAAGTCTGGTGAGGGATTCTGGGGAGACCCCACACTTTTTTTTTGGGTGTTGGGTTCCCCCCGTAAAATTCCTAGCAGACCTTAAGGCTCTGGTATGAATTGGGGGGCCCTACGCTGTTGTTTTTACTTAATTGTGAATAATTCAATCCAAATACATCCAAAAATGAAATATCGGATCCATCTGAAACCCAAATAACGACTATCTCACTAACCCAAATTTTGGATCCGATAATGAAAAGGAAAAAAATCTGAATTGATCCAAAACAAAAAAATGTTCTGGTGGCTTACATCTCTAACGCATATATATGCGTCTGCAAAGATGCTGACAGGATGACAAATTGCGCTCAAGGTCGGACATCTGTCCCACACCACAGGTAAGTGCTGGATGTGCGAAAACATGCGAACACCCGTAGACAACTGCGGCTCCTGTCAGTTTGTCATTGGTGTGTACAGGCTTCCCAGCCACAGCTGTTCACATACACCTATCATCCCAGCCGCCGAAATCTTGCCACAGGAATCCGCGGTCCCATCCTAATCGTATATGTGAATGAGTCCTTTTGTGGTTCTTACTGTGATGTAATTTCTATCACTTCAAGCTACATTCTCCTAAAATGCAAGTAGCTAACCCCTCATTTGCACAGCTAAATGACTTGTGTATAAACAATAGAACAATGAAAGATCCAGCATAAACATTTTTGATGAGAAACAGAAATTGAAAGTTGTTTATAAACACTAGGGGACAGTAAGGGCTCACAGGTGTAAAAACACTGCATTCAGTTCCAAACAATGTATAGTTACATAGATACATACCGTGTTTCCCCGAAAATAGTCATTAAGGAGTCCTTAAAATTGAGGATTAATGGTCTAGTTATAACCTGGCTTAATTCCTTAAGTACCTTGGGGTGAAGGTTATCCGGACCCACTGCTTTGTTTGCATTGAGCATTTTAAGTCTTTGTTGTATCCCGGTTTCCGTCAACCACTGGGGTATAGCTTTTTAAGGATCCGGGCACAGCAGTATTGTATGATATTGGCCCACCATTGCATTGTGCTTGGTAATCCTGTGCTGTGTTCAGCTGGTAAAATCAAAGAAGAAAATTCTTCCACTGCAGTCAGTATTTAAAAAGCCCCATTGACACAGAATCCTTAAGCATCCCATTTTCAAAGGATGCCAACGGAAGGTAACCCAAAAACGTATGGGTGTGAATGGGACCAGTTCACACTGCTGCATCGCATTGCAATACATGCAGTGTACTGAAAGAAATGTAGAGCATGCTCTACTTTATTTTAGCGCAATGTACATTTTTATTTCAACAAGTTTTATTAGATTAAAAAAATTACAGAAACAATACAAATAACAAACTACATAAAAAGCCAAATATAAACAATAGACAATTATGTCATTAAAGAAAACACT